CCCTTCCCTCTCACTAATTTATGATTGGTCCTTAAATAATAGTCTGATTGGGCCTCTTTCCCACAAGGTGGGAGTTTAATTAATTTATAATCTAAATTTAATTATAAAAAAAAAAACACGGATTCGAACGCCCGTAACTTTTCCGTTATAATCTCGATTTGTAAACGGTTTTCACCTAGGCACGCATGGTTTTGAAATCTATTCAAAAACATTAATTGTGACCTTGAAAGTTCAATGAATTTTAATGATTAATTTCCAAACTTCAAACTTCGTAACTAGTTTAATTAAAATCTAAATTCAAATAAATTAATATAATTCCCGAAAAATAATATAAATCTCAATAATACAAATACATAAATTATAACAGTGAAATCCAGGAATGAGATTTCACAAGGTCGGCCAGATTGTCTTGTGAACGGATTTGCATGACTTTAATCTTCTGATGCTCTTGTTGTTGATGTGAGAAGAAGAACTTCGGCGCAATATGCTTGGTGTTATCTCCTTTGATGTAGCCCTTCTTGAGCTGTTTGATGCATGCTATGTTGTCTTCATAGATCATCATCAAGATGTCAATGACGGGGTAAAGATCGCAGAAGCTTCGAATATGACCATAACTGCTCTCAACCGAAAGCATTCCCCAGGTGCTTCATGTAAGGCGATAATTTCAGCATGGTTAGAAAAAGTGGCAACTAAGGTTTGTTTAGTTGACCTCCAAGATATTGTCAGGCCTCAAACGGTAAAGACATAACCCGTTTGAGAATGTGCCTTGTGCGGATCAGATAAGTATCATGCGTCGGCATAACCAACAAAGCGAGAATCGACTTGAGAAGCAGGGAGTACGACATCACTCGAGGATCCATAGGGATAGAACAAGCCTAAATCCGTAATACCCTGAAGGTAACTGAAGATGTCTTTAACACTAATCCAATGTTTGCGTGTTGGTGCATTACTGTATCTTGCTAAAAGATTAATAATGAAGGAGATGTCGGGTTTAGTTCATTGAGCTAAGTACACTAAAGCGCCTATCGCATGAACTTCAGGCTCCAAAATCTCTTTGTCATCCTCCTTCATACAGAAGGGATCTCATTTTGCATCTAGCGATCAAACGACCATAGAAGTACTCGAAGGCTTCACTTTATCCTAGTTAAAGCGGCGCAACACTTTCTGGTTAGTTTGATTGATGTACTAAAATTCCATCCGAACAATGCTCTATCTCGAGACCAAGATAATATCGAGTATTTCCTAGATCTTTCATCTCAAATTCCGACTTCAGGTGCGCGGTAGGCCATTCTGGGTGTGAACATTTGGTACTGGATGTTCAACTTCAATCTCAACTAACTTGCAATAGTCATCAAAAGTTTTAGATGTGAATTTTCTAGCATTACCCAATCGAATATATTTGATTGGATAATCAGGGTGGTGAGCCCTAAGCTTAATAACATGAGCCAACTGTTTGGAGAATGCAGTGTTCCTTGTGGACAACAAGCACACATGTGACCAATGTGTGGAAGCGCCAATCAAAACCATAAAATATCTAAATGGTCCACAAAAAGGGTGAATCAGTCCACAAATGTCCCCCTGAATCCTTTGTAGAAAAATGGGAGGATTCGAATGATTCTTGTCATAAGAAGGCTAAGTAATACGATTTCCCATAGAACATGTTCGACATGCGATTCATTGGAGCAAACCTAAGCTTCGGGTTAGTGGATGCCCGTGTGATGATTTGAGGATACGGCATATCGCTATTCATCCAGGATGTCCCAAACGATCATGCCAAAGTGTAATTTTGTATGCGGTCCCAAAGGTAAGGCCGGCCACATGGTGGCTCTCTATGGGGCGTATGGTCGTAGTATATAGACCACTCGGGATATGCTTCATCTTCTCTAGAATACGCTTCTGGCCATATTCGTAGAAAGTTATGCACATAAATTAAACTTCGTTTTCTACGTGGGTTTCAGCGTGGTAATTGTTATCTCTAATGTCCTTAAAAATCAACAATGTTCTTTCGGAACGTAGAGAATAAAGTGCCTCATCAATGATCAAGATTGTACCATTGGACAACATTATATGTGCCGCACCAACAAATAATCCAAACATAAAGGAAAATTATTCAAAATTAACCAAAAAACAAAGGGGGGTTTGCCCACTTGCATAAAGTTTGATTCAAATTTCTTATGACGAGAATGATATTCAGCTACAACCTTCTAGGGTGCTCGACAAACACGGGACCAATGGTTTTTTGAACCATAGCGATAGCACATATCTGCATCATGGTTTCAGGTGCTTTGCCCTTATTCTTGAAGTTTGGGGCCTTGGGAGCGAGGTTAGGGCATTTCTGGGCTTTGTTTCCTTTCTTAGATGGGCCTTGGCTCTATTGAATTTGACGAGGTGGCTTCTGGTCACCCCTACCACACCTCTATTGGCATTTTGGGTGTTGGTGCTATAGTGTGCTTTAGACACAACAATCACCTTAATAAGTCAAGCTTGATGATTTTTCATCAACAACTGACTCTGCTTTTCAGTGAGAAGTAAAATATAGATCAAATTTGAGAAGTCAGTGAACTTATGAACTTTATATTGTTGTTGCAGGACAATATTAGTAGCTGAGAAGGTCGAATAGTTTTTCTCTAGGAAATCTTCTTCGGTTAAAGTTTTTTTACAAAGCTTGAGAAGTGATCAGATTCTATGAACTTCAGAATTATATTCATTCATAGACTTAAAGTCTTGGAACCGCAAATACTGCCAGTCATGTCTTGCTTTAGGCAAGTAGATGTCCTTTTGGTGATCAAAACAATCAGCTAAAGCGACCCATAGTGCTCGTGGATCATTCTCAGCAAGATACTCAGTTTGCAGTGCATCATGGATATGTCTTCGGATGAAGATCATAGCAATGGCTTTCTTAGCTTCACCAACAGGGTTGTCCACCTCATCTTCAAAGGCGGGACGCAAATTCTTTGCAGTGAGGTTGAGGTTCACATCTTGGACCTGCTTGAGGTAGTTCCTTCTAAAGACCTCCAAAGCCGTGAAGTCGAGTGTGTTCAAATTTGTAATGTTCCTATCACAAAATAGATGGACAATATGGGGTTAGTGCGATGGAGAAAAATATTAATCCATTCACACAAGAGTAAAACATTTAGGTTCTAATAGACATGTATTGGTTAAAATTTGCATGAGAAACTTCAGGTTTTCATGGGTGATGTTTTTAAGGAAAACTTAAGGTTTTCAAACAAGGCATGATTTTAGAAACTTCAGGTTTCAAAATAATTATGAACTTGACGTTCATATGTTCTTGCAGACAAAAGCAAATATATATACAGAAATATGCAACAAGAAAATATGCAAATAGAGTTTCAGGTCTATAATTGTAATTGAAATAATTATTTGGACTTCGGGCCAAATTAAAAGTGTGGGTGAAAAAATATAAAACCCAAATTGTCTAAAAATAATAAACAATTGAAGCTTGGGGCCCAAAAATATAGGCCAAAGCCCACGGGTGGGTTAAGCAAATTGGATTCATGCGGCCCAAGCCCAAGAATGGGCTAGGATAGGCTTGGGGGGATCAGGCCCAAATAATATAGTGGGCTGCAAAAGGAGTCGAGCCCAAAACAGAGGCCCAGACTGGGGGCCAACTGTGTGTGACGCGACACGAGGGAACACGGATACTCTAACGGAGTTGGGATCTGGGGTGACATACAGACGCAAGGACACTATAGCCCTATGGGCTGGCATTGGGCTGGGCTTAGGAATTGGGCCGCATCATGCAAGCCCGTTTAAGAAAAAAAAACTTTTTCTTTGCAGGCCGAGAAGGCCAACCCTGATTTGGACTTTGGGTTTAAGCAAAAAACACCCCAGCCAGAGCTGGGTGCAATTACCGTCGATTAAGGCCGGTGCCGCCGCTATAGGTGGTCATGTTTTAGAAGATGGCTCTTGGTGCAGGGCCATGAGCAAATTCCTAGGGATGAAGGGAGTACCTCGACATTGAGGGGAAAGAAAGGGAAACCCATGAAATTCAAACTGCAATTTAACCCAAATTTGGTGGAATTCTTCTGGAATTTCAATGATATTGGTTCAAAAATCATGACACCATGTTGGATTTTGCCAAAAAATTGCACAACAAGGTCGTGGTCTTACTTTAGGCGAGTTGGGTTTTCAGGGTTGGACGCCATAAGCATCGGGTTTCAAGGAGCTTGTTGCTCCATGTTTGCTCGGGGTCATGGGTTCGAAGAACCCAGATGGCGTTTTCAATTTTTTTTTTTTTTCAAATTATAAAATTCAATTATATGCATATACAATTTAATAATTTAATGCATGTACATATATTTGATGCAATTCATGGCAAATATCAAATTCACATAATTCAACAATTATGAATATAATGCTTACACAATTTATGTAGAATCTAAAATTCGAAAAACGTAAAGTTAGGTCATGCATTATGGTGAATGTTCATGTTATCAGGGCTGCAAAAATATTGAGATAAAAACCGTTGTTTTGGAAGAACCTGATTGCATGATGATATGGATGAAATAGTTTGATACAGAAAAACTCCTCCTCAGATTCCTAAGCGTAGCTATAGGAGCTTGCTGATAAAGTGTTGTAGCCTATTTTATCTGACTAAGGGGAAGGGGCTGGCATCAAGGAGAGATGTGTTTGTAGAATCGTAGGGGAATGTGTGTGTTATTCCCTCCTATGTAGTACCTATATTTATAGTACTAACAGGGAGAAGAAATCCTTCATCCCCTAGGAATACATGTCCATTTAGGAAAGAATAACTAGAACCAAATCTAATTTAGGATTTACACAATCACATTTAAACTAGAAAAGTTTATAACATCCTCATTTTTTTAGATGAATTCAATGTCAATTTATTATGATTGATTCATTATGTGGCTTACCTCAAATCAATAGGACACAAAATCAAATAATTTGGTCAAAAGATAATGGCAATCGCATATTATAACATCTTTAAATTTGCATAAGGACCAAGGGAATAAAAAGTCTGTCAAGCCCCTCTCACAAATCAATTTCTCTTGTATGGAAAACAATTGCTTGTCGTTCGTATTGACAAATCAAGAGCTATATATAGATGAGCAAAATCAAATTAATACTCTCTCACACATATTTCGCCGTTCTCTTTCCTTGTAAGGATCCTGCATTTTCTGCACCTCTATAGCACTGAAAACTCCATACCCGTTAGTACTTTCGTCCGTCCCTCCATCTTCATCATCATCGGTAGCTTGGTCGAGTGCCAGAAGCTCCTCCTTGTATCTCACACTTTCAATTCTCAATGGTTTCATCTTGATTTGAGCCTCATACCCTTTTAAAAGATCTACCACTTCCTTAATCTTGAGCCTTTTCTCAGGGTCACTTTTCACACAAAGTGCAGCAACATTGATAGCTTGCTTCAGTTGGCCTTCATCAAAGTTTCCTCTGAGTCTTGGGTCTGCAAGTTCCTTAAGTCTGCCTTTGGTTATAAGTGGCTCTGCCCACTCAGTGATCGTCCTCTTAACTCCGCCAGGGAGTTTTTCTATGGGCTTTCTTCCAGTTACGAGCTCTAAAAGAAGAATCCCAAAACTATAAACATCACAGCTCTCTGAGACTTTTCCCCACATGGCATATTCAGGTGCTAGGTAACCCAAAGTTCCCTTGACTCGAGTAGTCATGTGGCTCACACCTTCGGGGATTAGCTTGGCAAACCCAAAGTCTGCAACTAGTGGTTCGAAATCTGAATCCAACAGCACATTGCTAGCCTTTATATCTCTATGAATGATGTGGGGTGTCACCTCATGGTGTAAGTACCTACATACCACAAATAGGATGAGAATGCACAGGTTAAACAATTGTCAAATCATTTTTACAGGCAAAATTAGTGTAGCATTTGGGAAATTTGGTTTTTGCTTGAAAAATTGTGAAAAATGATGAAATTATTATCTGCACCACGTTTACTTATTTCTTTAGACAAACCATCTATATAATAAGTATTCTCTAGATTGTGATTATAGACAATACGTTTGGGCGAAAATCAACAGAATCAATTGTGTTCATATTTCCAGTCTAGTAAGGTAATAATCCTATTTAACCAAACAGTATGTCAAGAGCACATTTCTCCTCAATATGTGATCTAAAGACATAAGCATCTAAATGCTAGAAAAATATTGAGGGTTACTGTTGGTTACTTTTCTATTGTGCATGCTGATCCAATTATAAGAGAAAATTGACCTTCAAATTTCATGTGCAAGAGATGTCAATAATATTCCAAATGGTTCTTAACTGCGTAATTATTATTGTATTTGTCAATTTCTTAGTGAGTTGGAGGGCACAAGTTGGTGGACTCGATCAACCAACACTTCCATATATGATTTTGATCAATGGTAGCTTCAAACTAAACCATGCATGTGTATATAAATAATTAAATGTATAACTTATGTTATACTACTGCTTACAGGAGGCCTTCTGCTGAGCCAATAGCAACTTTCATTCTCCTTTTCCAATCCAGCCGAACTTCACTTGCAAATTGGCCATGCAAGTGAGAAAGTAAACTAAGATTTGGCATGTAATCATAGACAATAAGGCGTTGATCTGCCCCAGCATAATAGCCCCTAAGTCCCAACAAATTCTTGTGCCTAACCCTTCCAAGAACTTCAACCTCAACTGCAAATTCCATTTCAGCTTTTGAATTCATTGCTTTCAACTTCTTCACAGCAATCTGAATATAAATTATTTACTCAAAAATTATAAAAAAAAAAAAAAGAAAAAAGAAGGGTAAGTAGCGTATTAGGATACTAATTAATTAGTTTTCTTTTTCATTACCTGTAGACCATCACTGGTCTTTCCCCAATAAACACTTCCAAACCCTCCCTCTCCAAGCAAATTGTCATCACTAAACCCATTAGTAGCTGTATGCAACTCCTTGTACGAAAATATTCTCCATGATGTGTGACCTGCTCCACCAACTTCCCGAGTAGCCCTAAAAATACCAAAGCAAAACTTAATTTCTGGATTTTTTTCCTTTTTTCTTGCAGAAAACTTAAGTTCTCATAACAAAATGTCAATCTCAGCCAAAGTAGGCCACCTAAATTTATCGCATAAAAAAAAAAAATTAGCCTGTTTAATTTTGAATTGGGATTTAGGCAAAAAAGAGGAAAAAGGTCGAAATTTTTAACATACCTTTCTTCGTCTACCTTCTCTGAACTACAGCAAGCACTCACGGATGATCCCATAGTATGGACTTGGGATGGGTACTTTAAAAATTGAGTTGATCTAATTATATATTAAGCTTGCTTAAGAAATTAATCAGTGTTAACCTCTTAAATTAACCATATTAGTTGTGTTCTGGCTTATATATAATATCATAGATGCGACGTAAGAGCCGACCTCGGCCGGCATGTGTTGAATATCAAGTTGCTTGAACGGTTGTAACTAAACTTGATAATAAAATGAAACAAAAATTTGCCATCCAGATATTAATTAATATAATAAACCATCTTGCAATATGATGTACTAAATTACCATGTGACCTTCAGGACAATAATATCTCTCATACCAATTTGTTAATTAATTGAGTATTTGTGGGATGGTCCGTCAATAATATGTTAATTACTTCAGGACAATAATATGTTGGAGACTAGCTTTGAAATTTTCTATTACCATTTTGTACGAGAATTGAATTTAATCGGCTTGAAGATATATGGGAGATATGGGCTAAGTGAGTCATAATAATTAGGTATGGAACTCATCATTCATATGAGTTGAATATGAGATATCCCACTTATAGATGAACGAATACTTCTAAACCGTAGTGCTAGTGGCTATAGAAGACATTATTAGTTTGACATCTTTATTTAAAGGAGAGAGAAGCAAATTTAGGATCTCGACTAATAAAACGAGGAATTTAGCAAATTTGGTTAACCAATGTGCTCTACTCTCTGCACCCAAGTTCGAACGTTCTTTTTCACAATTTGGTCTTACCTATTCTTGCCAAACCAATTCGTTGAAGAAAGCTTCACTAATGCCAAGCCGGGCGCCATAGACTTTGATAACATGTCCCAATCCCTAATTCAGGATAACTATTCTATTCTTCGTAAACAAAAAGTTAAATTAAATAAAGCAAGGATTTACTTGACAGCATGAGATATACACACATATATATGTATGAACTCTCTTGACTTTCATTCTGAAGTGTCAAAATAAAGTTTTAAAAAGGATCACATCACCTTCACAATCCTAGCATCAGTAAATATCATTCTCCAAGTCCTATACGTATATCTAATCATAAAATTGCCAATTGGTGCGCGTTGATCTGTTACTTTTGTTGATATTCACATTCATTTTTCTAGTTCAGAAGATTTAATTTAAACATATTGCATTTGATTTTGAGTTTATTGCCTAATTAAAATATATATACCCATAAGATTAATAATCTAATTATCTAAGGGCGAACCTAGGAATTTGCAAAGGGGTGGACAAATTTTTTTTTTTTTATAGTATGGAGTGAAATTTAGGTGTTGGGGTACGCTAACTTTCTCTCTGTTGTGCAATATTAGACTTAGTTTTTCATAACATGCTTCTTTTAAAAAAAAATTCATATTTTAAAACTTGAGGTGGCCTAGAGCCTTGGGCAACCACTAGCTGGCTCCACCCTTGTAATTATCTGATACACGAAATCTTCAAGGTTTATTTGTTTGATTTTTTGCTTTTAACATTTTGTACTAAAGTAGATCGTTTGTTAAGCTTGAGAGACATTTTGTCAATCATTTTTTAGTAGTTGTCACCCAAAGGTATATAAAACGAACTTGTCTCAGATTGTATTTGAAATTTAAATTCAAATCAAGTTTTAAATAAATAAACGACATTCCAAGTGAGAGATCCGAAAATTTCTTCGGTCCTTTACATGTGGCCTCTGCATTTGTTTAATCATTGATCAAAGATTTTTGGAGTTGCCTCTATCTCATTTCGTTTTCATTGAGGTTTCATATTAGAAGTATTCTTTTGTACATGGACTCTCCTAATTCAAGCACAGTGATGCTGCCACCATTTTCCCTTTTGATCATACCAGCATTCACTTACACAAAATAATTAATTCTTTGATAATGCGACACAAAGCTTCGAGATTTAGATTTAAATGATGTGTCATTAATAAGAAATAAACACGTTAATCAAAACTTAAGTAATATTCAATCATCAACTTTCATAACATTATGTTTACAAAATTTAATTTACAAATTTGGGGCTTGTTTGGAAGTGTTTTATAATGATTGAAAACACTATTGGTGAAAGGTTTTTTTGGGTTCCAAAAGCACTTGAAGTGCATTTTGGAAGAAGCACTAATTATGTACTTCTTCTAGGAAGGACTTCCGAAGTGTTTTTTTAGAATTTACTTACATTATTAATTACTAAAGATTAGTTTCAAAAGAATTTTCATAAAAAGCGGTTTCAGTCATTGTAAAAGCACACTTCCTAACATACCCTTAATCTCCCTAGCATTACCCTATATTTTATAATCGAAGGACCATTTCAGACCAGGTTGGACCCCTAATTTTCTTCTAGCATCTCTACTTCGACTGATGTTCTTCTCTGCCCTTCCATTTGTGCGTTTGATGGTTTACCGAGACCGATTCCTTAATTGTTAGAACGAAGCCTCTAATTCTTGGCACCAAGTCTAATTCTTGGGAGTTTCTTCTGGGCGTCAAGTTTTGATCAACCCCTTTCGGTTTTCACATTACTTAATAAAATTAAGAAAAGACAAACACGACTTGATGATTTCCAACACAGTACGGTATGTACAGTACAATCTTGTGTATTCCTTACTAATATTTTTATGGTTTTTAACATAAGGTTTTTATAGCAAATGGTCCCTGAAATTAACCCACCTCATCAAGATGATCCTTACAATTGAAAATCAATCAATGTAGTCCATGAAAATTAGTGTTGCAAATCAATGTGGTCCTTCTATCAAAAATTCTGTTATGTGCTGATGTGACACATAACTGGGTCTCACCAATATAATTAAATATTGCTATGTGGATTTAAAATATTTAAATAAAAAAATATTTATATAATTAAAAACTTAAAAAAAGAAAAGAAGAAAAAAAAGAAGATGACTATTCATCATCTTCTTCCTCTCCCATCCGAGTAATCACAGGAGCAAACCCGTCGTTTGCGCCCTGCTAGCACGGCCTTCGAGGTCAACCAATCTTTAACTTCCGCCACTCCGTCCAATCTTTTGCCTTTTCGGGTCGGGCACAGGTTCGATCGGCACAAGCTGGAGCCCAAGTACCCTCTAATCATTGGCGCATCGACATACTCATGACAAAGGTTTGCAATGCAAATTCCGATGGTAATTCCTCCATTAATCTGCTTTTCTTCCCGTAATTTCACATTTTCTAATTTCCTTTAATTACATTTTGTTATGTTCTGTGATTGCCTTGATCACAAGTAACAAGATTTTGGGTAGAATTGTAATGTTTGAGGGTCAAAATGTAATGTTTTGAGGTCATTATGTAATTTGCCTTTCTTTTATGCAGTTTGTTAAGGAGTCTAGGTTGTTTGCCATGTGGCAGTATCACATTGGAAGGGTTTGTTAGTTCTATAATACTCTCTCTCTCTCTCTCTCTCTCTCTCTCTTGTTGTAACGGTTAGAAATGAAATCACAATGAAAAAATAATTTTACAAAAAATATTTCCATCTTCTTCCTCTCGCCATTCTTTGCTACTCTTGTTGAAAGTTAAGGTTGAACTAGTGACCGAAATTGGTATCTAACATTAGTATTAGCCTCCGATCCTGGTTGCCCTTCTGTGCATGCCGCCACATTACCACAACCTACTTCATTGCTATAGATGCTCAAGCGGCTGAGTTGGAAGCCTTCATGGATGCCATTCCTTCTTTGATCGAAGAATTGGTTGCTAACATCTTGGATACCAAACTCCAGATGTATTTTGAGCAATTATGATGTGAACTCCATTATCGTGGTCCTGGAGAATGTCCATCCCACATTGTGGTGCCTAAAAAACTAGATCCTTCTGCTTTTGGCCAGCTTCAACGACTGTGAAGCCCAATCCATGACGACGATGATCCCTTACCACGTCCTCAGTGGTTTCATAAGCTTGATTTTCCCAAATTCACTAAGGGAGATGATCATCTTGCTTGGATTTTTAAAGCTAAACAATATTTTTCCTTCTATAACATTCCTATTGTTCATTGTGTTCTCACTGCTTCTTTTCATTTGGATGGGGAGATTTTATAGTGGATTCGTTGGCTTGACTGTGTTTGTACTACTCCGAGCTGGGAGGAATTCACTCGTGCTTTTTGCCGTGAGTTTGGCTCTTCCGAATTTGAAGACAACGTCGAGGCCTTATTCAAGCTTTGCTAAACAGGTACCATTCGCGAATACCTTACCTTGTTTTGTCGTTTGGCTACTCGAATAGCTGACCTTGGTCCAATTCTGCTTAAGAGTTGCTTCTTAGAAGGACTTAAACGTGAACTGAAATTTGATGTTAAATTGTTGAAACCCGCAAATGTTTATGAAGCAATTGCTCTTGCTGTCCAATTGGATACCAAGCATTCTAAGTTAAAAAAATTTCCTCCTAAATCAATTCCACCAATTAAATCCCTATATGTAGTCCATACTCCTACTACATATCCGGTGCCTCGAGTGAGAAACTTGGCCATTAAGAAACTCACTCCAGAAGAGATTCAAAGGAAGAGGGAAAAGGGTGAGTGTTGGTTTTGCACTGATAAATGGACTAGGGGACATAAATGTGGAGTAAAACAATTGTTGATGCTTGATGTGGTTAATGATGAATCTGTTGTGATACAACCTGAGCTTCTTCATATGAAGCTCAGTGAATGTGCATTTTATGGTACCAAGGCTAGGCAGGCTATTCAAAACATGAAGGTGGATGATGTTGTTAATGGTCAGGCTGTGAAAACCCTCTTGGATTCTGGCACTACACATAATTTCATTGATTCCAAATTGCTTAAGCAATGAGGGCAACAAGTTCATCCCACCAAAGCATTTGAGGTGATGA